ATATCAATCCTGGTCCAGTATGTAACTTGTGCAGTGTGATGTAGAAACCTGAAGCCTCCAGTGCACATACACTGAGAATGGAAAAAAAGTTTATAGTGAAGTAAGAGACATCTTGTGTCCAGCAGGAAAACAACATTTGCATATTTATATATTATGGAATTTTTAATGAGGTAGAAGGAGCAGATCCCTTTTTTAAGGAGGAGGGATTGATTTTTTTGCAAAAAACATAAAATATCAAAGAACATATTAAACACACATTATTGTTCCAGGCGGACTGTTTGTATATATGTCTGAACACATATCTGAAGGGGATCTTTAATACTGAAGAAATATGACAAACTGGTTTCAATTACTAAAATAGACGACATTACACCCAAGCTCAGCTAGTTGTGCTTTCTGAAAAACTGGTAATATGCTTGGCTGAAACTGCAAGTTATATAAAACATAATGTGTAATAATCTCTGGTCTAACTTTGTATTCTGAGTTGCTGCAGTCCCAGGTGGATTGTGATTGACAGCTCCTCTCTACAGACGCACAGACCTGAAGACCTGCCCGATGGGTGAACCAGGCTGATGTCCTCCCTATATGTCCCCTTTGTCATCTATTTCTCTTGATGTCTTTCCTCTCTTCTCATCTTTATCTGCCCCCTTTTATTATTTAATTTCCCCCTTATTTTCTTTCTTGTTCTTTGCCTCATTGTCTTATTTTCACCCCACTCCTAAACCATTCATCCTCCTACCTTTCTGCCATCGCTGTCCATCGCAGCTGTGGCTCTGTTGAATAAATGCATCAGTCACATGGTAGAGTTGATCCACGGGTCATTTAGCTCAGCGCCATATGGTCCAACTTCGAATCTTCATAAAGTTTTTAAAGTCATTGCACTGCAACGAATATCTGTTTACTGCAGGTAGTCTTCCTAAGAGGTCAGATTAGATTGTAGCATTACTGTCACACACACAAGAACTGCTTAAAAACAGAGTAAATAAATCAGGTTTCCCCAACAATCCCTCACACCTCAGGAATTAGAAGAATAGTTTAGATCAGCTGTCCCACCTCGTGTGCCTTCAGGTGATATGTGACAGATCTCACACTTGTAAAACCTGGGTGGTACAAGACTTTGTGGCAAGGCAGTATGGATAAAAAGTAAATGCTCTGACAGCCAATTATATTCAGGCTGACACTGAGAAGGTTTAGGGAAGAAGAAACACAATTTCCTTCCTTTATTTTTAATGAAATTGTATGCACAGAAGTTTTCAGAAGCTTTTCTATACATATTTTTCTCCATGATGCAACCTGTTTTAAAAACTGAGTTTATGTGCAGCACCTTAGTCAGGAACCTTTGAATTGATAATCCATGTGACAGCTGTTTCCTTGATTTTGGTGACATTGTCTGGGGTAAGCAGCACCGGTGTTTGCACTGGACCAACGTATTGTAATAATAAAACCGATCAAACTCCACCACAGTCTCCCGTATTTCCTCTGCCTTCCTATAATTATTAGAAAAAAGCCACCATTGTTGCTTTGATAAGCACAGAAAGCATCATTTCCTGTGCAGCCGAGGATCTCTCCCAGGAAACAGGAACCCCCTTATTTGTGTTTATACAAGCACACATTTAAGCTTGAACTTGGTGAAAGATGAATCCTTATTGCATGGTATCAATCAGCAGGGCTAAGAGAGCAGCAAATTCTCCTGTACTACTGGTATTAATATGAAATGTGTATTTTATTTAAAGATTTGACAGAAAAGGAACTGCAAGCTTTCGCAGTTCAAGAGCGGCAGCTTTTCACTTTTCTGTTTAATTCGGTTTGTTTCGTCAGACAATTGCACACACACAGAGCAACAAAAGTCTGCAATCTGCAAACACACTTAGTATTACACTTAGAGATCTCTGAGGTTTTTTGCTCTGTTTGTCTTTCAAATACAAACACACACACACACCTGAAGCCCCCTGCCCTACATTTTTAAGACACAGAGGTAACCTGGGGCGTGGGGCTTAGCAGTCTGCCCCAGTGACAGACAACTGAGATCACTGTGTCACTCACACACAGACAAAGAGCTGTATTTAAGCAGAAGAAACATGGGTTGTTTGTTTTATAAGCTTAAGCAAAAGACCTGGACAAGTTCAAGTAGAGTTGACGCATACAAGAGTGTACAGACATACACATACATGGGAACTCAGACACACTGACAAACAACTCCTGCTGCTCATTTCAACCTTTTTTCTTCTGGACACACTCTCTCTCTGCTCTTGAGCTCTGTGTTAATAACAAGCAGCAGGTTAATATGAGGGCAGCAGAGGACTGAAGTGACTGCAGCCTACTGATTAGTCCAACTAGTCACAGTTATTAGCCGGCGTGTCATTTAGTACCAGGCCTGCCGTTCCCAGCCTGCTGCTAACCTGACTGCTCTTAAGGTCATCATACATTACGAAACTTTTCATGGTGAGACGCACGAATGGAGGTGATTTATTCAAGAAAATACTGCTATTTATTTAAGAACTCATTCGAGACAGGCAGATTTTTAAGTACCTAATCCAAAAGGTATCTTTAACATGCAAAGTATGTTCACCAGAGCCATCTAGGTTGCACACACAATGGCTTGTGGGTCAGTCCACCGCTGGTCGACAGCTGTTTGATGGATTGTCGTGAAATTTGGTGCAGACTTGCATGGTCCTGACTTGTTCAGCTTAAGTCATGACACATTGTTATTTTGTTTATCAGTGTAAGTGTATTTTATTTATCATTAATTTTGTACAGGTTACACTTGTAACAGTAGTGTGTGAGGTTTGAGATTGTGGGAGAGCCCTTATGTGTATGATCATGCTGATGTTACTAATTATGTTATGTCGTTTGGGTTGATCAGTTTATAATCATTTCTATTATTTATGTATTTGTCATCGTACAGCCTCACAGAGCTGCAAGAAAGACTTTTAGTCTTGTTTTTTTCCAGTCCTGAATACATTGACCACTGTCCAACCAGCATATGGATGACAGAAAGTGCATCCAGTAATGGAGGTACTTTCCAGCAGGAAATAGATTTTTCTGGTTGTAAATTGGACTTCCCTCTTCATGACCTGCATCCTAATAAGGAATAATATTGTTCAGTGCAGTACCCCTTGTATTTGTGATTTCATGCACCACCATTTTGTTGGTAAAATAAGTTTCGAAAAGGAAATGCTAGTTGAACAAAAAGGTGACTTCCAGCCAGAGTAGCTAGCCAAATTCACAGAGCTGGCAGCCACAGTCCAAGAAGCATTTGGCAAGAGGCTAACATTTCTGCTTGCTGTGACTTGTCCTGAGCTCCTTGCCTGTGGGGAGGGAAGTGGAGGACAGGAGACAATTCACTTGAAAACACACTGTAATCATGCCTCAAAGGTACTGAGTTTGTCGACCCGAGTAAGTACTGAAAGTATTTTTTTTAGATACATTTTTTTTTCTTTTCTTTTCTTTTCTTTTCTTTTCTTTTTTTTCTTTGTTCACTTCTCTGGGTAATATTCCACATTTCCCACATGTGATAACACTGATAACCTTTATTTAATCCAGCAGTAGTCACACTTATTGGCACTCTGTGTCAAAAACCTAATTAAACTCTAAAGAATATTATGTTCCAGTGAATCTTATTTCATTTTTCTGGTATTACATTATTTGCTCTGTCACAATGTAATCTATGACATAATAAAAAAAGGATATAAAAATATAATAATAGCCTGAAACCATATCTTTAATATCACCCAGCATTGAGATAAATATGGTCTATTTTGAGAGGGTTTTTTTTTTTCAGCAGTTTTTTGATCCTCTGAGAAATTTGCAAGTAATAACCTTAAGTATTCTGCAATTGTAGACCCTTGTAAACGACTATAATAAATCTAGTTTGGCCCTGAGAGAATTTCCATCACATTTAATTATAATCAAGGAAACATTGATGTGAAGTTTAGGATGAAAATTATTTAGAAATTGTGTTTTTCTTGTCCTTGTCTCACACTGTGAATGAAACCAAAACCCACCTGCTTTCACCTCATATTTCTCCTTAACTCACTTATTTTGGCTTCTGTCGCTGTCATCAGAGGACTTTTTTACGTATATTAATTACTTGATCTTGGCTTGTGCCACCTGCATCGGTGTTGCTCTAATTGGACCAACTGGGCTTTTCAAACCTTAATATGCCTTATAAAATATGCCGCTTGTCGAATGCTTTCATCCCAGGCTACATTCGAACCATGTTGGCCTCAGTTGGAATTGGACCCTACAGTAACTTTGGCAGTGTGGCTGTGACTCTGTACGCACCAAGAAACATTATGTTGTATAAACACATTACTCTCTAAGGGCCCATGAATAGAACAAAATTCGCTAATAAAACTGCTCCAAAGACATCATTACTGTTTGTCACACATTTGCTCAAACACAGACTCAAACTTTGACCTTTTTTACATTCAGTACAAATTGTGTGTAAAAGTATTGCCTTCTGTTAAATAAATACATTTCTTATCATTTGAATCACCGGTGGTTTAAATGCTATGCCCTAATCTCTTGATCTTTCCCTCAAGCAAAAATGTCCAGCAGGCTGTCTCTCTCAGGTTTCTCTCTCTCTCTCTC